TCACTTGAATTCTAGGTTTCCCCTTACTAGGATCTGGCTTTTTATTAAACCTTAAGTCCCTCAGAAGCAGAGGTCATGATTGTATTGTTCTTTATGCTTTCCCCCAGCATTCTTGGTATTTGGAGTCATCGTCAGCAAAAGAATTAATGTGCTTTTATTTTGTTCACATTATCATACATTTGTTATGTACATTTGTTTAGGTAGTACTCTATAATTTTGTGGTAGAGAGTCAAATAGTAAGAGTAAGAAATTGATAGAATCATGATACTCAGTATGATTTCCTTCTTTTTAAAAAATTGTTGACACTATTACAGGTGTTCCCATATTCCCGCCCCCTTTGCCTGCCTCCACACAGCCCCCACCCCCTATTGTCTCTGGCCATCACCACACTTTTGTCGTGTCTATGGGTTATGCCTATATGTTCTTTGGCTAATCCCTTCACCTTCTTTCATACAGGCCCCTCTCCACCTCCTCTCTGACAGTTGTCGATCTGTTTCATGTATCCATGCAGTATGATTTTCTAAACACTGCCACTGCCCCCAGGAAAATGGAGTAATTAAACATCTCACCACAATAATTTACTTATAATGATGATGGTGGTAATTTTGAGTTAATTAGAAAATTTTGGTGGTACGGTATTTATGCTTACATTTACACTGTGCTGCCTTACTAAAGATATGCTATATGCCCAAGCTTAAGACTGTGATCTGTTGTTCTGTACATAGCACATCCTGGGTTTTAATACCTCCACAGAACCTCTTGGAGAACCTTGTCTGAATTCTGAGGATCCCTTGTTCATGTCACCACTTGCCCGGCTGAGCATAGTCTAATGAAGACATATTTTGTACCTTAGCAGTCTCACACAGTGCCTTGTGCTCACACAGTCCTGTGAGCTCCCTGAGGACCTGGCCTGCCTCACAATGGCTTTTGGAAGAATGAAGGAATGGATAACATTTGTGAGGCTTAACCAGGCAAATTTAGACAGAGGCGCATTTGGGGGTGTTTTTTGGGAAGTGCTATTTATATTTGAAGCATTTTTAAAACACTTGCTGGTATACATTTATGAGACTAGATAAAATCAGACAGAAATAATGTTGGAGAAGGTTAGCCATTGGAAAGGCCAGGACTGATGTTTCTGTAAGAAGAATCAGAGAGGTGGGAGTTGAATCCTGGCTATGCCACTTACTGCCCTGTGTCCTTGGGAAGTCATTTCACCTTTGAGTCTCATTCTTCATCTGCTGCTAAGAATGGGTTATGGTCTCTTCCTTATAAGAGTATTGTGAAGAGTAAATGAAATAGTGTATGTGAAACTACCTAACACAACAAAGCAGGTTCTTTTTTTAAAAAAAAAATTTAATTGATTTTAGAGAGAAAGGGGGGGGGGGAGAGAAAGGCCAATGATGAGAGAGAATCATTGATTGGCTGCTTCCCACATGCCTCCTACTGGGGATCAAGCCTCAAACCAGGCATGTGCCCTAACTGAGAATCGAACCATGACCTCTTGGTTCATAGGTTGATGCTCAACCACTGAGCCACACAGCAGGGCAACAAAGCAGGTTCTTGATCATTGTTAGTTTCTTCCTTCCTGCTCTTTATTTGCTTGTGTTGCTAGGAGTAATTACTTGCTTGACCAACATTACTGCTTTTGTTCTCAGGCTTTCAAAAATCCCCCATAGCTTCTTCATTTCATCTTAAACATAAAATTATAGATTTTTGCAGAAGATAATTTTTAGAAACCCATGCTCAAAAAGATAAGTGGCATGCCACTCTGATTACAAGTAATTTAAAGTAAATCTAGAGCTAAAACACAGGCCTCCGGACTCATTCCTTTCCACCATGCTACTGGTGATGCTTTCTGCTTTTATGATGGGTGCAGACATGGTGTAGGTGGAGGACTTGGTTTTTATATTGACTCTTAAATTACAAGTCTTTGGAGAAATATCTTGTAAAATAAAGCTTCGAGTAATTTAGCAATGTGGGTAAACCCAGTTCATATAATAAGCCATCATTATGAAAGTTAGCTTGAGTTTTCTGTAGATTGCCACACCCTTGGGGCAGAGTTGCCCTGTAACTGATGAATAATTTCAGAATAATTATACTGCTGTCAGGACATTATCTAATTTTGAGTGGTAATAAAACTTTGTATTGTAATTTTAAAGATGGCGAATCATATATTTTTGCTAATTAATTTCCCTCTGCCTCCTTATTTCTTTAAAATTAAATTCTATATTACATTAAATATTAAATCTTGAAGACTAACTTTTTAAAAAGAATATGTTTTTATTGATTTCAGAGAGAGGAAGGGAAAGGGAGAGAGAAATAGAAACATCAATGATGAGAAAGAATCATTGATCGGCTGCCTCGTGCACACCACCTACTGAAGATCGAGCCCACAACCAGGGCATATGCTCTGACCAGGAATCCAACAGCGATCTCCTGAGTCATAGGTTGACATTCAACCACTGAGCCACACTGGTTAGGCTTGAAGCCTAACTTTGATATGGTTTATATTCTAGGAAAATTTGCTTCTGGATTTTCTTGGAATTTTTCTATTTTATAGACATCTACACTGTTTTACTTCTTGATACTCCTTGTCTGTTTTGTATGAGGCACAAAGTCCATTGTGGAGGGCATCTTTTTGTTACTTCTAAAAGCATTTAAGACAATCTTCTTATACAATGAACACTTATAAATGTAGAACAAAGAAAAGAACAACAGTCTAGTAGAAAAAATAGGGACTTCATGTAGAAGGATGGTGTGTGGGCCCTTAAGCATCAGAGACTGAGAGGTGAAGAATACACATGCTGGCTCTGGACTGCGTGGCTCAGGGCCTCACTCTGCCACTTACTAGATTGAGCAAATTCTTAATATCTCTTTGCCTTGGTTTCCTTGTCTCTAAAGTAAGGATTAAATGAATTAATAAATGTAAACTATTTAGAACAATGCTTGGTGCAGAGTGCTCAGGAAATGTCATTTGTTATTATTGCTATAATTGTGATTATTTCTAAAAATGATGCCCTACTTCACTCATCATAAGAGGAATTCAAGTTTAAGCAAAACTGAGACATCATGTTAATACACTGTGTAGTAAGAGTGTGGGTAAACAGTTGCTGCCACATATTGATGGTTATCTTATATATTGGTACTACTTCAGTAGAGGACCATTTGAAATAGCTATTAAAAGCAAACTGGCTATTGCATTTTGAACTGGCAAGTACATTTTTAGGAGACTGTCTTAGGAATTTATGTATAAAAAGACATGTATATTCAATAATATGTGCAAAAAATAATTGCAGTATTGTTCATGTTAGCAAAGGCTGAAAGTGACTTAAATGTCTCAGTGGAAACAGGTAAATTGTTATCCTCTATAGTACCATCGAAAAGTGAGGTAACTCTACAGAATGATCTGTAAGATGTGCTGTTAATTAAGTAGGGTGGGAAAGCTTCCACACATACTTATATATAATGCTCATGTAAGTATACACTATCTTTGGAGTGAATTAAAACAGCTACTAACAGTGGTTGCCTTTGAAGAGAGGGTCTAGAAGGGGTGGATAGGGAGATTTACTTTCCTATACTGTTTTGTACTATTTGAAACAAAATTTTTTAACATATTTATATATTAGTTTTTACCATTTCCCACACCCTTTATCTGTTCCCACCAACATACACACATATGCAAGTGTGTGCGCACACACATACACACCCTTGGGTGCACAATTTTCAGAATATTCAAATGTCATTCCAGGAGTCCGGTTGTGCAATGACAGGTAATAGTGTTTAAAGCTTATTGACTATGTGGTGTGATACTTGGAGCATAACTGGAACCCGATCCTTGTCATCCAAATTGGTGCTGATGGAAAAAATCACTCTGGATGGTGGAAACTGAGGCCTCGCTTTATAGGTGCTGCTATCGGTGCTGGAGCCAGAGAAGGACCTTGGTCTTGGGCCTGCCTCTCTTGGCTGTATGTAGAGGTCTGAGAGCAGAGTGAGTAGGAAACTGTGGTTGAATTTATCAACTGTTTGGTTCTATTTCAGTTTCCAGAGGTAAGAGCCAAAATGGAAATTCACTTGGTATGATAGGGTTTTGTGTTCGTGCAGCCCCCTGGAATTTGTAGAATTACTTTTTAACCCTAGAAGAATTGGAGCCATGACCAGGATTCTTTGTGTAAAACTCCTTAAAAAGATCAACTTTAGTTTTATACATCTCTCTACTTTTTATTGGGATTGGGTATTTTTAAGCTAATTGCTATTTGTATAAAGGCTATAGTCATCACCTCTAGCACCAGATTTAGGGCAAATTGTCTTGTCTGTGTTCAAATAATGTTTCTCAATGTGAAATGAAATATGGTCTATATATAATGTAGGAAATGTGGTCATGTAAATTAGGATCAGAACATAATGCTTTATTTTATGGTTTCCTTCAGTAAATGTTAAACTAGTGTTTCTTAATATTTTTGCCACTCTAAACCATATGAGGGGTGTCCCATTCCCTTTATTAACAGTGGCTTGGTGTGGCAGTGATATTCCACATGGGGTGGGGTCTTTTAGTGCATTCTGGCAGAGGTAGTGGGTGAGAGAGGAGGTAGAGATAATGATTCTCATTTTCATAACACACACACACAAACACAATCACACAATCACCATGACACTCATCCTCCTGGAGAAAATATACCCGATGAGAAATCCTGGTTTCATCCAGTTTGCATGTCTTCCCTCCATTATTGCTGTCAGCTTGCATGTAAACATGTATGTAACAGATTAGCACTGACTTATATAAGTCAACTGGTTCTAGCAAGTTTCCCTCCCATCATAGGAAAAGGCCCAGGTCTGAAGGTGCAGGAAGGGTTACACACGTTGCTGGGGTAAACGAGCAGTCTGTTTAACCAAAGGTAGGCGGACAGTTTATTCTGGAATTAGCTTTTGTTTTATTTTATTAACAGTGTCTTTTAACAATTAGTTTAGTGGTTGTTTAATTTTTTTTCTTGGATTCCTTTTTGTTTGTTACAGCAGAGATGCCAGCATATTTATAGGAATTGCTTGAAGCCAGAGTCATGGTGGATGTAGGAAAGTGGCCAATCTTCACTCTGCTCTCACCTCAAGAAATTGCATCTATTCGGAAAGCCTGTGTCTTTGGCACCTCAGCCAATGAAGCACTGTACGTTACTGAAGATGATGAGGTAAGAAAGAATCTCTTAAAATCCAGAGTTTAATTTTAGGGCTTATTTTGAGATTGAGCTTTAAAGCATGCAGTTTGAAGATGGAGAAAGGTCAGGGATAACAGAACCTGAAATTCAAGAAGACTGTATCTTTGATATAATTTGCCTTTTCTTTACGTTTCTTGATTTAATACCACTCCACCCCTACTACTCTTTGGGTTTCATAGTATAGCCAATATCCTAAATATCAGCAGAGGTTGACTTTTTCTTAATAACTTTTTTAGTCTCTTCCCACCCACCGAGCTGTCAAACTAAACTTGAGTGTGTCTCATTTTCAGGGTGAAGAAGGGAGCCTTTGTGTAACTTTAGGCCAAACATCTCAAACAGAACTATTTGTTTTCCAGGTCTTTGTATTTGGACTGAACTATAGTAACTGTCTAGGAACTGGAGATAACCAGAGTACACTTACACCCAAAAAGCTAGAAGCCTTATGTGGAAAGAAGATTAAAAGCCTTAGTTATGGCAGTGGTCCACATGTTCTTCTCAGCACTGAAGGTAAAGAGGGAATAAGTCCAGCTTTTCAGTTTGTGGAAAATGGAGCAGTTAATTCTAAGCTAAAAGGAGGTAGGGCTGGATCAAATAATTGATTTCTCATGGTTTGTTTATTACTTTCTGAGTGGTAAAAATTAAACACTTCAGGCTAACTGGAACAGCCATCGGATGACTTGCAAATTAAGCAAACTTCTGAGGTTTTAGGCTACTTATATACAGTTGTGAAAGATTAGTTATAGCAAGGAAGTGGTCCTTGCAGCCTAATTTTTCAATGGATTTGTGGTAACAAGGCAACTTTAAGGTTTTACTTGGTACATTTTTGTAAATAAAGATAAAACTGGTTTTCCTTTCTTTGTGTAATTCCTGAACCTTGAATTCAATAAATCTTAGTTTATTCCCTGGCATTACTGTGGGTGCCTTATGGAAAAAATGTGAGATAGAGTCCTCTCCCTTTCTCTCTGCCTCTCCAAGATCACTAAAGAAGGAGACTGTTATTTATCTTTGGTCATTTATCTCTATTGTAGGCAACCAGAACTCTGAAAATCTGTTATTTATAATTTAAGTTCTTCCTTTTATATTTTAGGCACACTAGCGTGCGTTCTCTCTCCCCCCGCCCCCATCTCTCTCCCCGTCTCTCTCCCCATCTCTCCGTCGGTAGCAGAGGTCCTCAAGTTTTTGTTGGGTTATCCTATTGAGTGGCATTTGGGAGACAGTTTACTCCCTGCCTTTTTGTCTCCAGAGTAGGAGCTTCCTTGGATGTTGCCATAGGTCGTCTTGGTATTGAGCTTTTTAATTGCTTTTAACTTATATTGAGTCCACTCCAGCTTGTCTGTATCTTTCTCAAGCTGTGAGATCCAGATCTGAGCATGATTGTTTAGTAAGAGTATAATGTGTTGAGCATAATGAGGTGATTGTCTCACTTCCGTGTTATGTAATCTTGTCTTTCTAGAATTACACTGGCTCTTTCAAGCAGTTACAACTTTGCTGACTGGTTCAGCCTGTCATCCATTGTGACCTAATGATTTATTTTTTTCCGAATGCATATCAGTTTTAACTAGTGATTGATTTTCCACCGTAAATTCCTGAGGCAGTTATTTAGAGCAAATATACTAAAACATGTACATTCAAAGTTTTTGTTTTTTTTCCAAAGTGGTGACCTTAGGAAATTATAACTCTTCTTTTGAATTATTTTTAGCATCCAGATCATACAGTTTAAACTATTTTGAATGTTACAGTTGAGATGTAAATATCAGTAAACAGGCCTGGCTGGTGTGGCTCAGTGGTTGAGCATTGACCTAGGAGTAAGGAGGTCACGGGTTTGGTTCCCAGTCAGGCCATATACTGGGTTGCGGGCTCGATCCCCAGTGTCGGGCATGCAGGAGGCAGCCGGTCAACGACTTTCTGTCATCATTGATGTTTCTATCTCTCTCCCTGTCCCTTCCTCTCTGAAATCAATAAAAAAATTAAAAAATAAACAATAAACATAAATATAAATACCTGATTTTCTCATGGGCATGTTTTTATTTTGTTTTTAATTTCGTTTTGATCATTATAATACATTTTACACAGTATACAGTAAACATGCGTGTATTATGTATCTCTATGAATATATATATTTGTGTGTACTGTATGTTGACAATCATATAGTTTTAAAAGAATTTAACAAAAACAATAAAACAATTTAACACTTGAAATCCTCAAATAGCTTATGGCTTTTTGTAAAAAGCAGGATCTTTGTCCTATCCATCTTCACTCTTAAAAACTGCTCTTCAGAAGGAACCACTTTTAACTCTCAGATGTTTCTTCTGATATTTAACTCAAATTTTTAAAATAACATGCTTATACTGCTATTTCCAAATTTCTCATCTTAGATATTATCATTTGACATTTATAATGGCAGATAGAATT